ATATATATTTATGTATATGCGTATATCTTGATTCTAGCAAAAATTATACATGTTTTACAGCGAGGGGTTAGATATGTTGTTAAATGAAATGGTTTTGTAAAACATTTGTTTTTGCCCACTCACATTTTCTGTTTTGCGTCCCTCCAGGTTTTAAGTAAGCTTGTTGTTGGTGGCTTGAGGACGTCGACAGTTCTAACCTATCTAAAAAATAGTAGGACATTCCTGGTACTGTAAAACTAGTACTTGTCCTACTGGACTGCACCTAGACTTATTATGCTCTGATTAGGAGTGCTTACTTTTGTAACTAACTCCTATCACTTCCTATTTTGTAGTGCACTCTAGTAATTTGGTTTTTAATTATTCGTATATTTCTCATCTCTATTGCTTCCGCACTGTGCATATGGCTACATCACTCTCACGTGACGGCCAACATGCCTTGATCTCGGTCGGGGTGTGTCACCTAATGGTCACTATATACATGTTTGGCAATTGATATGGATATGCATGTTTGGCAATTGATATGGATCTGCCTGTTTGGCAATTGATACGAATATGCTTGTTTGGCAATTGATATGATAGGCTTGTTTGGCAAATGATACTATTATGCTTGTTTGGCAAGTGATAGATGTGCCTGTTTGGCAAATGAAGGGTTCTGATACTGTTACTGATACTGATACCACTAGTTAGCACTATACACGAGATATCTTTTATGAGATGTTTTATGGCATGCTAGGGTTTTCGGAAAAATCTATTATCTATTACGCTATTGTTTTCATAAAACTTGGGGGTTAGTATGTTGATAATTGTTTCTATTATATGTATATAAGCTCTGGTCCACTCATGTTTGTTTTGCGCCCCCTTCAGGACTTAGAATCGAAGCGTACAATTCCGGCGTCAAGGCACTTCCGCATCGGCATCTTCGAGTCCTCTCGGCGTATGACCCATTCTTTTATTCATTCAATTTTATATTATTTCATTTAGTGTTCTAGTTAGTCGTATGCTCTGAACATGTTCCTCACTTGCATAATATTTATAATTAAATTCCTATTATCTTATTTGTATTTTTAATTCTCATGCATCCTAAATGGCTTGCGTCACCTTCGGGTGTCTGCCAGCATGTGCCTACCCTGGTGTACGGAGAAAATCAGGGTCGGGGCGTGTCAACCTACACACACCCGGTCGAAGCCACCCACACGTCCGGTCGAAGCCAATATAAGTATCTTCGCTCATAGGCAGTATCATTCGCCCATAAGCCCTACATCACCCGAACAAATCCAATTAATGATTTCATTCACCCATAGGCAGGACATTCGATATCCACTAAATAAGCACATAAAAACATTAACATAATATTTCTAATATATATATATATATATATATATATCTCAAATCGAAGCTCAGTAACTAAAACGTCATATCGGAGCTCAGTAACTAAACGTCATATCGTAAAACCACGCTCATAAGTAGGTATATAGTCAACAATCATATCTACCACAAAGAATGTAAAGTCGATAAAGCATAATATATCATAAAGTGTGAATCTAATTTACTCATAAATGCTTCATAAAACGTAGCCATTAAATCATACTTTTCATGTATGCATTTCTAATAGTAAAACATGCATTTTGGAAGGGGTCCACTCACCTTACACTGTTGGCGAAGAGCCGTGCAAACAAGGGTGGACGGAAGCACCACTAACAAACGCACCAGTGAGAGGTCGAGAGGTGGCCGGAAAGTGGCCTGAAAGCCACGGGTATATGTTGGAAACTGGGAAAACTCTCCGAGGTGGTTTCCTCCGTCGTGACTCGTCGGGGAAGACAATGAACAGTACCTTAGTCACTGTTGGGGTACACGGCTTCAAGCCTGGGGTTTCAAGGTCTTTACGAAACTTTGAAGGGTTGTTGTTGTTGTTAAGATTGAGATGAGGAAGAGGATGAGTTGTAGATGAGATAGAGGGTTCGGGAAGTGCTTGAGAGAAAGAGAAAAAGTGATGGGTAGAAAGAGAGTGAGGGAGAGTTACACACAGGAAGGAGGAAGAAGAAAGGAAAGTGGGCCGATAAGACAAAACCAAAGCAAATGGGCCCCACCAGGCATACACAATAAGACCCAAAAGCAACTCAATTGAAAATTTCTAATCCATCCCAATGAATTTACCAAAATGCCCTTCTGTTCTGAAATTCGTAAAATTATTTGGGACGGGTTGTTACAATAACCCGAGTTGAAATGTCAAGATTCTCAGCCCAATAGTGATTCCTTAGACTAGTGGGCTTCTAGCTCAGAAGAGCATTGATTAGATCAAGTCCTAATGGAAGTAGGATTGTTAAGTTATCAGGTCCAATCGTGGCTCAGTCCAGTCCTAGTTGAATTAAGATTGGTAAGAATTAGGATATGTTTTGATAAGATTTGCATTATTCTAAGGATCAAGACCTATGTTTGATCAGATAAAAATGAATTAAGTGCACAAAGGGGCTAAGTTTAGAATCTTAGTTTAAGTCAAAAAAATTCGAGACCAGATAAAAATTGGGTTTTGATTAAAGAAGCTATTAAAGGGATAAAGAGAGGATATCTAGGTGAATGCCGTGTAGGCATAGTCCTATCAGAACTCTACCTTGGCAGACTCGGTTATCACGAAACCCATTTTTATAATATAAGGGTTCTGCAACATGAGGACCCATTTCAGCTCAAGAAACAACTCAAAACGCTTTATGCAAAAACTCGTGCTCTATGTGAAACCATTCACAACCTTGAGAAAAATACTAATTATCCTAACCCTCTCGTCAGCACACCTTCAGTTTGGATAAACAATATTGTGTTGGCAATCGACGATATCTTCAATTTGGATTAACAACACATGGAGCCATAGAATCAAGCAATTTAGGAGCATCTTCAGTTTGGATTAACGCTACATCTAGTTGGTTATCTATCCAAATCTCATGGGCGAAGAGTTTTCAATTTTTTCGCCTAAAGAGGTCACTTCATTAGCTTCCCAAATAGGTGAGGTGTTCTATGATTGGTTAATTCCAGGTGCACTTCATAGTTCGACATTCAGATGGCCTAACCATGTTCACCATAAAGACACTAATTTTCTTTAAGTATTTTTGCCCATACAACATGATACTGATTCGACACAGTTATATTCTTAGGAATATAGTTGAAGCTGTCGAACTTGATGTAGAAGATTATGAACTTCGTAGTGAATTAAGCAACGTTGTCTTCAGGTTCTAGAGTCCGATAGGTGTTCCTTCCTCAATCGTAGTCACTCAGGTGTAGAAGTCTACAGTGCATTCGATACTGCCATCACCACATCTATTCTACTTACCCGACTACGCTCGGTCGTGTGGCATGCTCGCTTTCACAAAAAAAACATAGTTTGCTCAAGTAGTTGTTTGGGGTCTATTAAAACACATTTAATTGTTAAATATTCTCTTTCATGGAAACTAAAATTTATAATAGTGGCACTTTCTATGGTACTCTATACTTCGAATATTTTAACCGTTAGATTTTTAAAATACAAAAATTAAAATTTAATGATTAAAGTAGAAGGTTTAGGTGATGATTGGTAAATGCTTTGGTCTTGTTGCGCACGCACCATATCTGCTCATCGGCGGATTTCTTAAACAGAATTCTAACGAGAAATACTGTGCCACGCTCTCTCTCTCTCTCTCTCTCTCTCTCTCTCTAACTACCTTCTCTCTCTATAACCAAAAGGTGGCTGCAGCTGCGGAAGAACCGACTATATACACTACTCGAACTGCGCTTAGCTAACTTCTCCGATCCATTCCATTCCACCAATTCGTCGTTTCAATTCGCTTCTCCATTATTTCACTACTTTCTCCTCTCATTCATTACACAGATTTCTCGTCTTCCTCCTTGATCTATCGTCTTCGTTTCGATCTTCTTCTTACGAACTCAAGAAATCAAGAACTACAAGTAAGTATTAATTTTAATCATATATAAATATATATACACACACATGTTTGTAGATAATTAATCTGCTACGTACTTCCTTTTGACTTGCATTGACCTTGGATCGCTGTTTGTTCTTGCTAATTTCGTGTTTCTTTCCTTTCATGATCGTGTGTTTACCTAGTGTTTGTGCATTTTCCCGAGAAAATGGCAGAAATTTTCTCGCCGTCCTTTTCTTGAATTGTGGAAAATTGTGATGTATCAAATCTTTGGTCGATTAACTAATTAGAAAATGCATGCATGCATGCTCGTTTTTCAAGATCGCAAAATGCAGGGAATGAAGGAGATCATTGTGGTGGCGGTGATGTTCTCATCAATGTTATTCCGCTGCGGGGTCTCTGCTAGTACTATGGCGACCGCTGCTGCAACCAACACCAACCACTCTGTTGGCGGAGCCTCCGGTTGGGATCTCTCCTCCAACCTCCGAGCATGGGCTACTCGCACCGCTTTCCGTGTGGGCGACTCTCTCGGTATGGCATTTGATTATCCTTTTTGTTAATTAATTAGCTTCAATTCATCCATTAATTGGTGATTGATTTCTCCGTCTTTCTTAATTGATTTGATTAACCCAATCTTGTATTATGCATTTGGTAACAGTTTAGTTGAAATCCATGAATAGGACTGCTGGGCTTAGGTTGATCAGTGCAATCATATTACTTAATTAACTAGAGATGAACAAATGATTCGGTTTTTCTTTTCTTTTTCTCTATAACTTTCTTTAATTTTAGGCTCTCTTTTAAGCCTGAACGGATCAGTTGAGACAGGGCATATAGCATGTATGATTGATAGGGGTAAGGTGGATTAAGACCAATTTAATCAAAATAAGAAAACGCGGTGCTGCGACTAAAACAATGAAGCTTAGCATACAAGCAAATCTGTTATTAGCTAATACTGAGAGGTTGACTAATGGATTATAGGGCTGTTCGTGAATTTGTTTAGTCAGTTGGGTGTCTGGATGGATATTGGAATTAATTAAGTTGTGAACTAATCTACATATTTGAAATAATTAATGTTTGATCATGTGAGGGTGATGGTGGTGATGTGGGCAGTATTCAGGTACACTCCGGTGCACGATGTACTGGAAGTGACGAAGACGGACTATGATTTGTGTCACACAGTAGACCCACTGGAGATGCACAACGATGGGGAGACGGTGATTCCATTGAGGGAAGCAGGAAACAGGTACTTCATATGTGGGAGGCTGGGCCATTGTGCCATGGGACTCAAGCTCCATGTGCTTGTCCTCCCTGCACTGCAGATGAGTACCAATGTTAATGCAACCTCACCCAGCAGCCCCTTGTTCACTAGTCCTCCGCCAAATGCTACTAGTCCTATTTCCAACAACAACAGCAGCAGACACGGTCCAGATGATCAAGTAGTGGGAAATGATCATGTGCAGCCTTCCCCATCGCCATCGCTATCTGCTTCCAATTACTCAATTAATTCTACAGATGATGTACCTCCTGATCATGCTACAGGCAATACTACTACTGATGATGCACACTTAACTTCTGACAGCCCTCGGATTCTGCCATTTGTTACAGTGATCAGGCAGATCCTCGTGTTGGCCATTTTTTTATTTCCGAGTTGGATTGCCGCCTGGCCCGCCTCCATAGCTCCGTTTGTTCCCTTCACTCATGTTGCTCTGATTCTTCTCGTCGCTACTATCACTGTTGTTGCTGTTGAGTTACTTCTCACTACTAGGCCAACTTCGGACAACAACAGCAGACATGGTCCCGATAATCAAGTAGTGAAAAATGATCGTGTGCTGCCTTCTCCTCCGTCAGCTGCTTCCAATTACTCTATTCATTCTACAGATGATGCACCTCCTGATCATGCTACAGGCAATACAACTACTTCTGATGCCCAATTAACTGCGAAGATCCCTTGGATTCGGCCATTGGTAAGAATAGTTGTAGTACTCATGATCGCACATATCCTCATGTATCCTCTTCTTCATTTACTAGTTGGATCACCGCCTCCATAGCTGTGTTTGTTCTCTTCGCTCATGCTGCTCTGTTTCTTATCGTCACTAGCATCACTGTCGTTACTGCTGAGTTTCTTCACATCACTTACGCCTACTGTGATTAGCTTCGTGGTTAGAACCATTGTTGCTAATGATGCGCTTCTGCTCTTCACTTGTGCTGCTGCATTTCTTGTCGTGTTAGAACCATTGCGGCAGCTACTGCATCTCTTCGCTTCACTACTTTAGGATTCCAGTCTTAAATACTTCGCTTTTTGATTTGCTTGCTAAAAAATAGCTCTACATCTTATGATCGATATGAACGTTGTGATACTGATGATAATAACGATGTTAATTCTTACTGTTCGAGTAGTATCTGAGCATAAGTATGGCGTTGATACTTAATGTTGCCGTTTTCGCTGCGGGAATTCAAGGCTTAAGATTGAAATTTTGATTTTATGGTTTTGAGTTTTTCATTTCTTCTTCTTCAATTTCTTGTAGAAAACTTGATTAACATCCTTGGAAAAGATCCAATTCTCATAAAAGTCGGGGTTAAGATTGAAATTTGATTAGTCTTTTGACTTTAAAGAGTCAACTAATTACAATAATTGTCTTTGTTTGTTCCTAAATTGCCCTTTACTACAATTTAGCTAATGATTATTGACTATTAGAATTTTGGTGGTAGTTGTATTTTGAAATACTTACACAATTAGAGGCTTCATTTATGAGTGCTAAACCTTAGCAAAGTATAACATTCTTTTTCCTTTGTCCTGCACGAAGACTCAATTTGAGCATGAGCTTTTTCTAGGCTACTAGGCTTGGTCCTATTTAGTTACAAGTCAACGCTACTAGGATCGACTTTGAACTTCTTTCTTATTAATGTGTTAATGAACTTTTTCTTTTAATTTAGGATGGTACCATCCACATATCCATTTATACCTCTCACACACTCCTCTCAATTTTCAGATATCGAATCAAATGAATTGAAGAAGACCAATGAACAAAAATTAACAAAAGTGTGTAAAAGGTGAAAAAGAGCTGTGTGAATATCACTACCCTTAAAGTGAGACTCTCCATGGACTCTCCGTCATCTCTTGTTTTTGGCATAATGTTTTATAAAGTTGGTACGAGAATTGTGCAAAAACATGAGTTGACGGAAAGTTCTTGAAGAGTCCCTGAAATAGTCTCCTTAGCATTTCCCTATTTTGATTTCACCCAAAAGTACACTATTAGTAATGAACTACACCAAGTAAAACCTAAAACTGAAAATGAAATATGCGAGAAATCGAGGGGCCTCTTGTACTGTCCGAATCAAAATACCAAATATGCAAAGGGAGCTTTTAGTTTAAATACTGAATAAAAATAAATTTTAATTGAAATGCTATATTTGTTTTATACAATAATACATTTACATTAAAAGGTGGGGAAATAAATTGGTATCGACCTCATCATTTACTAGAATTTAACCAAAGATCTTTCAATTATAAGTGAGGAGAAGTATCACTCAACTATAGTACTAAGTGACAAAACAATATCATTTTTGTCATCGTGCTGGTTAAAATGACAAAATACCTAATCCAACCATCGTGTTGGAACAAAATATGCGCACCACCGCGGATGTAGAAAGGTGTGCGAGTCCGGCTACCCGTAAGAAAACAAACAATCACAGTCAATCTGAGGTATTAGTATGGTACAGGTCGAAAGCTCTCCAACAGTCAAGTTAGTAAGCAATATTGAGACTCAAGCAGTAGGTTTACGGAAGCATTACCAAGGACATGCCCTAGATGAAAGTATTTATACTAGTTGGGGGATAGACCATTTAGCTTATAGAATCCGAATCAAGGGAATTTAAGAGGATATATGGGATTAGACATTGTGTTCTCCTAAGAGTGTGATTACTTGTAGCGCATGTCAATCCATAGATTGTAGGAATCTCTAAGGATACAAGTCAGATCAAGCATCCGTATCTTGCAGAACAAAAATGGTCAATCTCAGCGAAGTTAGCAAACTTCGCCTAATTTTTTGGAGTACAACAAGATGTGGTCTATAACACCTCACCCTCATTTTATTTAAAAATGGTTTTTAATTCTTAATTGGTGTGCCAAATGGCCCACCTTCTATTTTTGTGTCCCCCATTCCCGTCACTCTTCCATCTCTCTCAGCCCTCTTCTTTCTCTGTCTCCCTCTCTCTCTCAACCTCACTCTTCCATCCTCATCATTAAACCCACACACACCCACCACCACAACTACCTAGCTACGACACCACCATCACCTCTGGAACTTTCTTTTCTCTCTCCCCCGTCTCGGCGAAGCTCCGGGACACCCAGAGAACACCCAAGTCTCCCCCTACGCCTCCGGCGACTTTCGAGAGAATTTCCGGCCAAACCACGATGAGTTGGCCTGCGTGCAAGGTATCAATCTCTTCGTCTCCCTGAGTACTACAACTTTCCTTTTTGTTTCACCCAATTTCGTTGAGTATTGAAGACGTTATATCCATTTGAATCTTACCCAGTTTCCGGCGAGTCCGACAGATTTCGAGGCATTTTCCGGCCAAACCACGGCAATTTATACGTCTTGTGAGGTACCATTCTCTTCTTCTCTTCAAGGGCTACAACTTTTGTTTTTGTCTCGCTTGATTTCGTTGAGTAGTGACAAAGTTATAGCCGTTTAAAGTTGGGTGGTTTTCCGGCCGAATCTCCGGCATTCTTCTTCGACAAAACCAGGCCTCTCAGGCCCTTTAGAAAACCCATGGGCCTTAAGCCCGTTATATCTTAGCCCAAAACCCCAGCCCGCATCCTTTTTGTTTTTGTTTATCTGTTTTTAAAAACCCAAAGGCCTTGGGCCGGTTTTTGGTTAAGGGGCTCTAAGCCCAGCCCTTTAATAAGGCCTTAGGGCCGGCCTTTGTGTGTGTGTGTGTTGTGTGGGCTGTGCCCTGCATGTGCAGCCCATGTGTGTGTGTGTGTGTTTGTTTGTGGTGTGTGTGTGTGTTTGGGCTTAGGCCCAAACCACATTTCTTCACTCTAAACCCTTCTAACCCAAAAACCTTAGAATTCCAAAACCCAATAGATCCTAATCCTATTTAACCTAAACCTTAATTCATATTTCAAGCCTAAAACCCGTTAGACCTAATTTGACCGTTGACCCCCGGTTAACGTTGACTTTAGGGTTGACTTTTCGGGTTTTCGTCCGGGACCCTTCTTAGAGTAACTCGACGTTCTGAATCCGTTTCCAACGTCTGTTTTCCCAAATTCAATTGTTAAAATAGAGTTTTATTAATTGGACCCTTTATGTGCTTAGGGGCAATTATTGGTGACGTTTTCTTGTTCGTTAGTTTGCGTGGCTCTTCGGCGGCTAAGTACTGTGAGTGGACCCCTTCTAAAATGCATGTTTTAATAGTAGAAATGCATACATGAAAAGCATGATTTGATGATTACGTTTTATGAAACGTTTTGTGAGATAGCATGCTTACTGAGGCTAGTTTGAATTATTACTATTTTTCCTATAACCCATGTTTTTATAGAATATCTGATGGATGACGATATGATATTTCGATTTTTTATTAAGATAAGAGACGGGTGGGTCCAATTTTTTTTTTAAATTTTTTATTTTTTTAACATCCACATGGGCCCCATATTGATGTGTGGCGCTCAGTCATTGTCCACATGGGCGCCATGTCATCAGTTAATGAGATTCTGATGGGAAACTTAACAGATGTATGAAAGTGTCCCATAATTATGACTTTAGGTACCAGACTAGGTCAAAAAAAAAAAAAACTTCGGGATAGTAAACTGAGGTTAACCTTTTTTTTTTTTTTTTTGTTATTTTCCTCCTTATGTGGGATACATAATTTTTTTTTTAAATGTTGTTCATCACATAAAAGTCTTAAACTCCTCACAAATTTTTAGGTGGCAAATTTTACCGCCCAATGAATTATATTGGATGACGAAAATTTTGCTTTCTTCACAAAACATAAGATAAGGCCACCTGGGTTCCTGTGAGGAAAGGCAAATCATCACCTTTCCTTTACTGAAGGCAAAGAAAAAAAGAAAAAAAAACATAAAAGTAAATAAAATCCAAAAGCCCCAACTCGTTAGAATTCATATGTTCTGCTCTCACTCCACTTCCTCTCTTAGCCGACGATCACCTTTCTCAAATTTGCCAACTGACTGCTGGTGGCGGCGAGTACCATCGCTCTTTCGTCTTCCCCATACCTCCGCTGCTTGCTATCACACTCTACTCTCTTTTGACCTAAGACGACTTAGTATCTCAGCTATTCGTTCTCCCAATTTCTAATCCAAAGGTACTCAAATCTCTCTCTCTCTTGAAATTACTGCATTTTTTTATTTCTCTCTTAGAATTTTTTCTTAATCGTGAAAATTTTGAAAATTTTCTTATTTTATGTATTGGGTTTTCGAGATATTGGAGAAACCTCGGCTATGGAAATCCCGCTCATGTTATTGAGGTGGAAGATTTTTTCCATTTCTAGTTTTTAATTAAATTTTAGGACGATGTTGATGTATATTTCTAAATTAGGGTTTTCAATATTGGTGTGAATACTTAATGGCATGCTTGATCTTTTTTTCTTTTTATTTTATTTTATTTTATTTTTTTTATTAATTTGTACCTAGATGGGTGTGAATACTTAATGGCCTGCTTGTTTGTTTAGATGTTCTTGAATTTCCTGTTATTTGAATTTATGGAATTCAATTTACTGACATTCATATTTGTTATGTTATATGTCTATCTTAACACATATTTGAAAATTTGTTATGGCAACTTATTGAACTATGTCAAAATCTGAGGCCCAACACTACTACTGAAGATAGACAATGGATTTGTTGTCGGAATCACTCTAGTTCTAATTATTAGAGAATGGGTCCAATCATTCATTCACACTGTTTGTCGCCATGTGGACCAGAACGATTAGATGCTATGTCCTTGTAGAGTTTGTCATAACATATTTTTTTTCACTTAATTGAAGATGTTCATCTACATTCGTTGAATTTCAATATGGATATGAATTATGATAGATGGATAAATCGTTGAATTTGCTACTAGAGTATTTGAATACTTGAGTAGTTTTTGTCTAAATACTTTGTATATTCATGCTTGATTATCATTACAATACTACACGCCTATTAATAGGAAAGAAGGAAGGAGAGATCGGACAGAGTGAGGTCCATGAGGAGCTGTGCCACCTGAGATACAATAATGAAAAGAAACACTCCACTACACTTAGTTGGAGAAAATATAATAACAACCAATATACAAACGTTAACTAGTTATAAAGGGAAAGCACTTCTAAATAAGAAAGTTTCAGCTTGAGATTGTGCAATGAGAGTTTTCGATATGCTTATAATGATAATTATTTAAGATGCTAGTCTATTATTATTTTTCCTTTTCCAATTTACTAGATGACTTCTATGCAACGAGGAAAAAGGGTGAAACGGGTCAGGGTTGCCCTACCTCTACCTCCACCACCACCACACCACCTCCTCCACCGCCACCACCATCTCCTCCACCACATGCTCCTTCACTTGAAGAGCCAACAAACATGAACTTAGGTATTTGAGAAAGGCTAATTACAGTTAATTTAATTCTTCTTATTAATGTTGTTTTAAACAAGTTATAACATTGATAAGATATATATATATATATATATATATATATATATATATATATTTTTTTTTTTTTTTTTTTTTTATTTATAGAGACAAATTTTGACTTCACTGCCAAAAAGATGACACATAAAAAGTCATGTGGGAAAGGCCTCCATGATATTTTGGAGGCCAATGGTGGGAAAAAGATGTTGGTCATCTTTGATTTCAAACTTCAAATTCCAAGTGATTTGCTTGTATCAGGTTTTTTACTACTGAGATAGGGAATATTGTTCAGACTCATTCACCAGTTTGCTACGAGAAATGGATGAAGGTCTCACCTCAAGAAAAGAGGACATTGCGGGATAAGTTGCTTGTAAGTTTGATTTTAATTCAATTTATTCATAATAATTTCAAGCACTCACTCGTATATTTTATGTTTAACAATAGGTATTATTTGTGGTGGACCTATCCCATCCAAAGATTATTGAATACGTTGATAAGAAAATGGCGAAGTTGTACTATGTGTTTAGGCACCGGTTGAATAAGTATTACTTGTCAAGTGGAACACCTGCAAGAGGACGAGCTAAGCTGCCGAACGATCAGATATGGAATGGGAGACCAAAGAGTCATTGGGACTAGTTATGCAATAATGTTTACTCTACCACCCACTTTTTGGTATGTATCCTATCCAATCTTTTCTAATATAAAGCTGTGATAATCTATTAAATGTTACCAGCTTATTTAATAAATAGGTGCTTTTACATGTATTATATAATGTTTATGGAAATTAGAATCTAACTGATTGGAAAAGATGTTAGATAGTAGTATTTTGTTAAATTTGAATGAATATGCATGTACAACTCAAACACATGAATATATATTACAAGTCTGGGAGGTAGGAGCTTTTCAAATTGTACATGTCTACAATACTAACTTTTCTTTTGCTTGTCATGTACCACATGTGTAATTAATGTAGGAGCTTTCAAAGAAAAATTCTGATAATAGGAAGAAACAAAAGTATCATCACAAGGGAGGAGTAAGGCCATTCATCAAACATGCTAGGAAGGCTCACATGGTAATGTAATTAAAGTACTTGTAATAATTCATTATGCAATCTCATGCATGTTTCTTCATTATTGAGCAGAAAGAAGATCCATTATCTGTGATTGACAATTGGGGAGCTCTCCACAAAGATAAGAACGGCAAGTGGATCAATGATGTTGCTCAAGACAAATATGTAAGTTATTCATGAGCCACTAAGGGAGAAGCTGACCGAAGAAGCACCTGAGGGTACTCCATTAGATTTCGTACATGTGTGGATGATGAGTTTGGAATCATGGTTGAAAACCTTGGGAAGAAGGGAAAATCTGTTAATGGTGTAGGTGTTTTTCCTCGAATGGATACCTATGGTTGTGGTTCTTCTATGGCTTCAAATTCTGAGTTAGCTGATACAAGATCTCAGATCAAGCTTCTATCAGATGGTTTCCTCATATTGCAAAAGGAGAATGAACAATTAAAAGCTTGATTGGATTTACAGAATGTTGATGAAAATATGTTCATAAAAATCAAGGCTTTTTTTGCTACAAGTCAAGGGAAGACCAACAACAACTTTACGAAATCAGATGGTGATATTTCAGAGGGTGAAAATACTTATCCTGAGCTAGAAGAACATGATTTGGAAGAGGACTGATTTCGATATTATGTCTTTTGCTGTTAGTTTCAAGTTTCCACATGGTATACCTCTTTTGTTAGCACCTAAATGTGTCTTAGACTTCTTTTTTGTTAGTACCAAAGTTGTCTATTAGTGTTAGTGCCCTTCATTATTCTAGCGTAGGCTTCTATTTTGTTAGTACCTGGAGCTATCTTTTGTTAGCACTAAGCTGTTTTAGACTTCTCTTTTGAGATAGGTTACCATGACTTTAATTTTTGGAACGTACACCTGGTGAATGTATTCGACTTATGTGCTTAAATTGATTAATGAAAATGTGAAGTATTACCTATAATTGTTATGAACTGCAATTCTAGATTACGAAGCAGGAAAAAAACAATTAATTTGTCAATATTATTCCTAAATAGGCATTTGTTTTAAACATATGTGACTTAAGTTGTGCCACATAGCAAAGGAATATGTGACGATTTCAGCGTCGCTAAGTGCAACTAAATCATTATGGCATCATATTGGGTGATGACAAAAGCATCACATATAAATTTGATACAAGACGCAAACATAGGTCACATAATGTTGCATGACGCATACTATGTCACACATATTGGCACTAAGTGACACAAGTGGCATCACGCATACTAAAAATATGTGGCAAATTTAAAATTCGTCACACGGACTATAGATGACTATGTATATGTGACGAAAATTGTGATGCTAGAATTTCGTCACATATAGTCAAATGTGATGAATTTTCTTGTTTATGTGACGAATGTCTGTCGCCACCTAAGCCATGTTTTCTTGTAGTGACATAAACACACAAAGACACAATGATGTAGCATAGTCATTCAAAGTTGGATTTCACATTGGTGTAGTTTCGGTTCCATTATATAACGGATTGATTTTACTGTACAAGAGACATGACTATCTTTGAGAGAGTAAAGTTGATAGTGAAGAAAAATTAGGGTTGAATTGGAGCGTGATCCTAAATGTGGAAGTTGCATTTTTACAGGCCAAAGACAAGCCTCTCACTTTAAATGTATCTATAGACTAAGTGAGGCCCATTGGGAGGCCCAAATATAACATCACATCATGATTAGGGTTACTAGGAACTAGTAATTCCTTTGCCTATAAATATTGGACTTTGAAAGCAAAGAGAGGAAAACATATCTATGACCGCCGCTGAAGAGCAAAAATATTTCTCTTCAAATCTTCATCTCCATTGAGTTTTTTTTTTATTTTTTATCATGGATCGAGGTGTGTCTGTTTTATATTCAATTGATTTCCACTTGTATTGTTGGGAAAATTAAAAAACTCGAGATCTCGAATTTCCGCTTTATATGTGGTTTTAGAGTCGTGGTTAAAACTTTCATGATTTCTACGATGTTGATTTAGTGTTGTTATGAATTTGATTAAATCATATCTATTATGTTTTTTTTCATGATTTGATTTGGTATTTGTTTATATGCCGCGTTGAAAAATGAAAGAATATTAATTGGCAGTTTGAATGGGTAAATATATGATTATTTTTTGTTTTGCATCTATTTTTATCCATTTCGATTCGAAAATTTCTAAAGAAATAGAGATTAAATTCTTTTTCTTTTTTGGGTCAAAATTAAGATTAAATCCTTTACTAAGGCAATGAAAAATAGTTTTTTTAATGGAGATTTTGGAACAATTGGATTTTCACACAAAAGTGGAACTCTATTGGGCATCTCTCTTATAAATTGGTTGCATTTCTCTTATGAATTGGTTGTGCAAGTGTTGATCTTTGAATTGATCATCGGTTATACTATTTGTATATAAATTTTAAATGGGGTCCCACTCACTGTTATGAATTAGGATTCCAGATATTAGTTATGTCCTTCAAGAGATTTTTAAGGATAAATGTAGAATAAGTGTAACTATGATCCTAATCATACTTTTACTCATGTTTCAGCTTAATTATGTAAGCATGATCTATGTTTACTAGGGTTGATAACTCAAAGTGCTACTTCAAGATCGGTGACCACGGATTTTTCATATAACTTCGTAAAAGAGAGTTTGCATAGCAATCCCGACCTTGGAGGCTTCCATCTGTATGTATGATTGAACACATGCATGACGGTTACTCGAAGGTAAGTTCGTCTCTTCAACCATATAACTAGATCTACATGTTAAGTAGTGTTGAGTATATGCTTGTCAAGCAAATGGGAAAAGTCCTATTGATTGCGATTTCTTATTTGTTTGCTTTGTTTTATGTACTTTGGATATACTTTTCTCTGAGAATTCTAGCGAGGCCGTAACGCTGATGATTGATCCCTCAAAAAACCATAATTAGCGATTATATGGGTTTGTAGCTCAAGTAGTTAAAAGAATTATCCTACCCTCAAATTTATACATAGCTTACATAGTTTCATTCATCTCGTGACCATTATTGCTTTGTCTTAATATTGTGTCTTACATGAGTTTATAGTTCCAACAAGGCCTTGTCAAAGTGTATGCTAATGTGCAGTGCACCAACCCTAAACCATAAACTCTAATAAACCCGAACCTAATTAAAACTCACTCCGACTAAAACCACATGAATTTGAACCTAACCCAAACTTGAATTGTGAAAGTTGGGTTAGGGTTGGGTTGACCATCCAACACGCCCAACCAGCCCGAGATGAAACGCAATGTTAACAATGAAAAACTTCCTAGTTTTACAGTAGCAAAATAAATAAAAAATAGCAACCTTAAGAAAATATAAACAAAATGAACAAATTTTGGATGAATAACAAATCTTTCCCCATAAAAATACCGGATGATCCAAATGAACTTTCAAAACGAGTCTTAAAACAGTCACAGAAATAAATTTCTTAGTCTTATGACACTAGTTTTGGTCTTGGCATGTTAATCCAAGCCAGAACAGTTGAGGGCAACTTTTATTTTTTCAACGTTGGAACTGATTAGAGTATTGACAGTTGCCACTAACTCCTTGTTCATCTGCTTTGAAGTCGTGGGGCTGGAAACCAATATGTGGAAAGCCACTGTAAGAAGTGAACCACATGCACCACCCATCTCAGGACGACCATCGCTGGATATCATAAACCCCGATGGGAGTATGGACATGTTAGAAGAGTCTTCACCACTTACTGCTACATTGAGAATTTGCATGTCAACCGGAGCATATATGATAAAGGATCCAAGAGGGTCTATGTAGCACTCTTGAAGAATCAACATGTTGTCCTCCGTCGGGGTGAAAGGCTGCTCAATACAAACCATTCCAAACAATTAACCTAAACTGTTTATGAGGCATTAAACTTAACTTAGTTAAAATGAACACCATAAGACTGATATGTTTTCCTCAAACTTCAAACTAGCAATAGTTCAACTCTTGTTTCTGGACTTTTCTTGTCAAAAAAGATTTGTGCAAGTAAAAGTTGAAGAAGGAAAGAAAATTACCCGAATGATGGATATACGATTTTCAGGATGAGTTCCTGTTGAAATGTAGGCAATCTCATGCACTGGATTTCCATTAGAGAGAACATCCCACTGAGAAAAATCAAATAGGGCATTACTACTTGTAAGGTCATATTTCAACCTTTAATATTACTGATAAATCAAGATATATATAAACCTGAACTCTTGTTTTCTCATCTTTGAAGAAGTTAAAGATCATTTGCGTCGACAAAGGAAGCCAGAAAGAAGTAGCAACACTGACGATCGTGCCATGCGGTTGTCCTATTTCTGTGCTTGTATGAACAGAGACTTGAATCCCAGTATTGTCAACTTCTGATAATTGGGGGGGGTCAAGATTTCCCGCCATGCTCAACATTCCACAAAAGTTCTTTACCATCCTCTGGGAAAGCTTCATTAAGCTTCTCTTGCCTTCAGGCAAAGTAACCACTAAAAAATGGAAAACATGTTCATCAAAACTCAAAATTAGGCTCCTCTTGCCATCTTTGTATTATTACTTTCTTGTTTTGGAAAACATAGGAGGTGATTGATGAAAACTTACCTCCTCCAAACACACAACCGTTCATTAAACAATGGAATCTCTCACACATCTTTTGAAGAGTAACAATCCATCTCTCAGCTCCATATGCAACACTTCTACAAATTAGATCTCTATAGAGCCAATGAGTTTGTGTCTTGTCGTCAACCGCCATATGCTCAATCCAAGTAATCTATAATTTTCCAACTCAATACTTAAAAACGATTCTACCAACTAAAACCAAACCAGAAATATTGTACATGAATGCTTTTTGATGAAGAATGTAATGCCATGAAAATAATAATCGTGTACTATCTACTTGTGATGTTGATATGTATTCTAAGTAACCATTGATAATTGATGCTAAAGTATATATAGCTCCAGGTATTCTCCTGGCTTTTCCCCATTAGATTGCAAGCATATCTCTGCTCTAATTTATCATATGGACCAATTTATATGGTTGAAGATTAGATGAAGCAAACCTTGGAGTATCCGTTATGCATGTCTTCTATCATGCATCCAGAAGGTAGCCTCCAAGATCGAGGCTGTCTCGCAAAACTTCCTTTTGCGAAGTTATAGGAGACATCAGTGATGACCCAAGTTCCTAGCTCAATTTGCTGACAATGGCGAAGAAAGTAGAAATCCCGCGGCAGTACCAAAGGTGAGAGAATGTGCATTTCTTCATACATCTGCATCAAAAAATTTGAAATGTATGAATAATTGTGAAAAGATATAGGTAAATAATTAGTATACTTAACCAAACAATTGCTTTTTATGTACCAACTGCAAGCAACCACTCCGATTTCCTATCATTCCACTTTCGAGAACTTCAATTGTCCTTGCTTTTGTTATGATTGTAGGAAAGACGTCTTCCCATTTATTCTGCAAAACGAAGCAGGTTTTTCTTAAACTTCTTTAATCTTTGCAGCATTTTAAATTTTGTATGTCAGTATATAGGAAATAATGAAAAGTACGAGTTATAGAACTAACGAAATCTAAAAACATGTCAACCAAGTATGCTGCACTAATGTGCACTACTCCTGAATCCTTCGAAGACTCGACACGAGCACAAGAGTTTCTGAAGTGATTGGCTTTTGGGAACATCTTATCATAGTTGTCCCGGTTGAGGAGATATCTGCCATCAGTTGGGGATTTCATCCACACAGGCTTGTCGATTTGGAAAAGCTTGATCAGTTCTTCCATGGCACTGGCTGCAATGTCTTTCATGAGTGCCTTTTCCATCTGAACATTTTCGTTTAATTGGTAAGCTATTGCGGTATTGGTGAGATTGAGCCTAAGAGGTGGACTTCTGACGATCACATGGTTCAAGGAACATCCTGGTGATAAATTTTGCGACGATCCAACTACTGGCGCCAACGATT